TCCAGGTTAAGCAAGGAGCCGGTGCCGGCTGCTCCAGGCTCACATCAGGGGATCTGTGTTGGTTTGTGTCCCTTCCTGACGGGTTTGGGATGTGGGGATGGGGTCCCTCCTCCTTCCCTCCCATGCTGACACCTCCCACTTTAATTAGAGCCAGCAGGGAGAGAACCTCAATCTTATTATTCCCTCACAGCAGGGCAGCAGCAGCGTTTCTTGGACGTCAAAAGGAGGATTAGATTAGTCTGGAAATGAGGGGGTTTTGCCTCCTTCGCTTCTCTGGGCTCTCCAGAGGGTGTGGAGCCTCCGGAATGGCTGTGGTGATGGATTCTGCCGGCCTGGCACGCGGGCCCTGGAGCAGAGTGCTGGCAGGGGTTATTTACAGCTTCCCAGGCTGCAAATCCAGGGAGAAAAGTGGGAATGGAAGTGCCTGGGATGCCTGAACCCTGCCCAGGTGTGTCAGGGAACAGAGCAGGCTTCCAGAGGCGCCAGCTTGGTGGAAGGGATCTGCTGTGGCTGTGGCATTCTTGGCAGGGGACAGGGGACAGGGGACAGGGGTGGCAGCTGGGGCAGAGCTGTGCTGGAGAGCTTTCCTTCCTTCCCTCTCTCTTTTTCCTTTTCTTTCCCATCTCTTCTTCCCCCTTCCCTTCTCCTCCCCGTGGTTTGGTGTCTCCAGGTGCTTCTGAACCTGGAGAATTCCCTGAAGGGGTCCCTCCTCCTCTTCCTCAGAAAACATCCAGCCCCATTTTGTATCCCCACGGGAGCAGGAGTGTTCCAGAGGAAGAAAGCCTCGATAAAAATCAAATGTTTGATGTTAGAGTAAACAAACCTGATTGTTCCTTCAGATCTGGAGTTTTCAGTACAAACAGGAGGAATCCTGGCAGTGGAACCCTGGGAGCCTGTGCCAGGTTTCCCAGACCACTTTGGATGTCTGGATGGGGAATTTGCTGTTGTTTGGGGAAAATAACCACTAATTGCTCCCCACAACTCCCTGACAGGAGGGTGGAGCCAGCTGAGGGTCAGGCTGTGCTCCCAGGGAACAACAGGACAAGAGGAAACGGCCTCAGGTTGTACCAGGGGAGGTTTAGATTGGAAATCAGGGGAAATTTGTTGATGGAAGGGTGGCCAGGCACTGGCACAGCTGCCCACAGCACTGGTGGAGCCCCCACCTGAATGGACGTGGCACTCGGGGCGGGTTAGAGGTGAGCAAGGTCAGGTGTGGTGATCTTGGAGGTCTTTTCCAACCCCAGTGATTCCCTGATTGCAATTTGGCCAATTCCCATGTCCTGCAGCCCCAGGCACTCCCTGCCCGGGTCCCTGGGCTGAGGGAGGGACCCTTTGGGTTCACAGAGGCTCCGGTCACCCTTGGGCAGCTCACTGCGGGCTGCGGCTGCTCCTGCACCGAGGGGTCCCCTCAAAAACCTGCTGAGGCCTTGCCATAAACGAGCCCTGGCTTCCCAGCTTGCCAAACATCTCCTCTGACGAGGAATTCCAGCCCCTTGTCCCAGCTCCCGAGCCGCTGCAGCGGTTCCAGCCCTGCTCCGTGCTGGCTGCCGGGAGCCGAGCGTGTTCATTCCCTGTTTACTTGGAATTTGCCGTGTGTGAAAATGAGTCCTTGGCTCCAAATGGAGCTGAGAGACGCTTGTGCTGCTTGTTTTTTCCAGCAGGCGTTGGAGCTGGAGCCGTGGGCTGGGATTTAGGGAGCTGAGGAGCTGCCGGTGGGTGCGGAACATCCCGACTGAGCCGAGCTTTGGGGGATGTTTGGGGGTTTGCTGGGGTCTTTTTCAGGAGCTCTGGGCTGTTCCTGCTGCCTCCTTTGTCTTGCAGGCGCTGTGTGGCCCATCCCTGTTCCCCTCACAGGGAATTCCTCCATGAGGTGGGAGCTCAGAGCCTGACCCCCCTCCCCTGTCCTTTCTCCACAGCTGGTCAGCGAGAAGGTCGGAGGGGCCGAAGGGACCAAGTTAGACGATGACTTCAAGGAGATGGAAAAGGTGAGTGGGGAACCAGAGCAATCCCCAGAATCACCCCATGGCTCCTGTGGGACTGGCTGAATCCCTGAGCTGATCCTCACTGGGCTCTCGTCTCTGCTGCAGAAAGTGGACCTGACCAGCAAGGCTGTGACAGAAGTGCTGACCAGAACCATAGAGTACCTCCAGCCCAACCCAGGTGAGGGCCTGGCGCTCCCCTGGCGCTCCCCTGTCCCCTGCCCAGCTTCCCAGGGAAACAGGGAGCTGGGCAGGGAGACAGCTTTGGGTCAGTGGAGATCTGGGGTCCCCTCTAGCCCTGAATCCAGGCTGCTGAGCAGGGACAGATGCAGCCTTTGCCTCAGACCTAGAGAGGCCCTAAGGGGACCCGTTTTTCTGGGAATGTCCAGGAAAAGTGTTGTTTCTGGGCTGGGAAGGGATGGCTGGCTCTGTCAGCCCTGCATCCTCCCAGCCAGCTGCTCCAGAGAGCGCTCCAGGGACCCTGGGAGGGCTGGGGAAACTCCTTTGGCCTCCTCTGGCCCAGCACTGCGGAACTACTTTTGCTTTCCTTCTTGGAAAAAACCTTTCTTCGTAGCGAGGGATATTTCTGGGGGATGGAGACAATGGAGCCTCCCAGCTTTGGGTGCAGCAGGGGGGGGAAGGAAACCAGGCTGGCAGCAGGCAGGGGGTGCAGGGAATGCAGAGCTGGCAGGGGGTGCAGGGAATGCAGAGCTGGCAGGGGGTGCAGGGAATGCAGAGCTGGCAGGGGGTGCAGGGAATGCAGAGCTGGCAGAGGCTGAGGCGTTTGTGTGGCAGCTTCCAGAGCCAAGCTCACCATGCTCAACACCATGTCCAAGATCCGCGGGCAGGTGAAGAACCCCGGCTACCCCCAGTCCGAGGGGCTGCTGGGGGAGTGCATGATCCGCTACGGGAAGGAGCTGGGAGAGGATTCCAACTTCGGTGAGTGTCCCCCGGCCTCGGGGGCAGAGGGGATCCTGCTTCACCTCCCAGGTGTCCCTCGGAATCCTGGAAGGGTTTGGGTGAATTTTGTGGGGCTTAAAAGGGGTTAAAAAACTTCCAGAGTGATCAGGTTCCAAGGGGAGGAGAGGAGGTGTAGGTGGGATGTTGGGAAGAATTCCTGTGACGGGGGAAAGGCCCTGGCACAGGTGCCCAGGGAAGCTGGGGCTGCCCCTGGATCCCTGGCACTGCCCAGGGCCAGGCTGGAGCACTGGAAGGTGGGGCTGGCTGGGCTTTAAGGCCCTTCCATCCCAAACCATTCTGTTACTGGGTGATCCCAGCTATCCTGGATCTCAACCCACTCTCTTATTAAACACTGAGATAAATTTTCACGCAGAATAAAAACTTCCCTGTAAACTGAAGAGCAAAGCAGGAGCGGGACAGAGCAAGGCTGGGAGTTTCACACAGCTCCAAAAGGATCCCTTCCAACCCAAGCCTTGCTGTGATTCCACAGGAACGCTGGAGCCAAGAAACCTGGCGTGGCTGTTCCTTGTGGCCACGTGTGAGTGGCAGGGAGGAGGGGGTGCAGCCTTTTGGTGACATCAGTTTGAATCCCCTGGAACCTCGGCCAGCGCACGTGATGGCCCCGGGCAGCACAGCTGGCTCTGCCAGGGCAGGGAGGAGCTGCCTTGCCTTAGGAAAATTAAAAACCTCTGGCTGCTTTTGGGACTGACAGAGGATTTTGGAGATCCTCCCTGGCCAGCTCAGAGCTCTGCATCAATCCTGGCTCACAGGGACTGAGGAGAGCCAGGGCAGGAGGCTTTTAGGAGCACACACAAACTCTATTTCCTTAATGGCCTCCTTAAAGCAGCGCTGAGGGCTCCATCCCTCACTTCCAGGTTATTCAGAGTTATTACAATTAAAATAACACTTCTGGTCTATTGATTTTTCCAGCTGGACAGTGGAGAGATGTTTTCCCTTGACCCTCTCTCTCTCTCTCCTGCGTTTTCCTGTGTTCATGCACTGCTGAAATCGTTGTTCTGCCAAAGCTGCACAGGAATAATTTCATCACTAAATGTTTCCTGCACTGAATGTGCTTTGCTGCAAGTCTGCCTGGCTTAAATGTCAGAGTGGCCAGAGCCTTAGAAAAGGGAGGAGCTGAGCAGGTTTCAGTGAGCAGCTTTGAGCTCTGGGGCTGTCCAAGGCATGGAGCGACCCGGGGCAGTGGAAAGTGGGACTGGATGGGCTTTAGGATGTTCCCACCCCAAACAATCCCGTGATTCTGGGACACACCAGGGCTTCCTCGGGCTGTGTTTAATTCCCCTCTCCCTGCTGCTGTCCCGCAGGGGACGCGCTCCTCGACGCCGGCGAGTCCATGAAGCGCCTGGCAGAGGTGAAGGACTCGCTGGACATCGAAGTCAAACAAAACTTCATTGATCCCCTGCAGAACCTGTGTGACAAAGACCTGAAAGAGATCCAGGTAAGCACCCCCTGTCCTCCTCATCTCCCTGCTCTCTGGGCTCTTTGGCTGTTGGTGCACGGAGCCTGCTCTGGAGTGCTGGGGACCAGGGGCTGGCAGGAATTCCCTGCACTGTGTGTGTTTTCTCCCTCCAGACTCTCTGCTATTTCCTCCCTGCTCAGCGCTGCTCCCGCTGCTCCTGAGCAGCCCAAAAGGCTGGATGCAGGTTGGAATGGTTCTCCCTTTGCCATTTTGATGGAGGGTGCTGTGGGAATACATCCCAACACCCCTGCTGGGCTTGCTGAGTTGGGTTCTTAGTGCTGGGAGCTCCCAGATGGGATAAATTTGGGCTCCAAGCTCCCCTCAGGTCTCAGCACCCCCAGGAGCCCTCCGTGGTCTCACGGGGAGAACAGCAGCTCCTGTGTGCTACACACAGTCAGCTCCAGGCTTTGGAACAGGATCCATCCCAACCTCCAGCTCCCCAGTCAGGTCTCCTGAGGGAGTTTCACTCTCAGTGGAAATAACCAGGTTATTATTATTATCTCAGTGCCTGTCCGTACCCCGGTTCCGTGGGGCTGCTTTACCATCCCTGCCCCGAGATCCGGGAGTGCAGTGCCCAGGAGCCACATTCCTGCTGTCCAGAGATCCCTGCAGCTCCTGGGGAGCTCTTCACCTTCCCTAAAGCCTTCTGTGGGGAACAGAAGCTGCTCTGCAGCCTTTTCCTCAGTGGAAAGGGTCTGGAATCATTCCCCCATCACACCCTGGGGCCTCTCTGCCACCTGGAGCAAAGGTGGGAGCCCCAGGGGATCGGGTGTCTGACACCAGTGAGCTCGGCCTGTAACCAGAGCTGTCCTCCCAAGCCTCTGGCTTTTCCCTCTTCCCTGCTCTCTCCATCCTCCCCCAGCACCACCTCAAGAAGCTGGAAGGGAGGCGCCTGGACTTCGACTACAAGAAGAAGCGACAGGGCAAGATCCCCGATGAGGAGCTCCGGCAGGCCATGGAGAAGTTTGAGGAATCCAAGGAAGTGGCAGAGACCAGCATGCACAACCTCCTGGAGACAGATGTGAGTGTGTGAGCGCAGAGCTGGGGGTCCCTGGGGCGGGGTCTCGGGGGCAGGCTGTGATCACACCCCGATTCCCACCCCTCCCGAGTGAGGTTCAGCTCTGGGAACGCCCAGATGTGGGTGATGTGACAGGCCTTTGATCCTGGCACCAAACAGGCTCCTCTCAGGGTGCTGGGGGTCGGTTTGGGGGGCAGCACAGCTGGGAAGGGCTTGGCAAACCCGGAGTGGCAGGAAACGGGCTCTGTCCCACACAGCAGAAATCCCAAGCCTCCCCCGGGCTCCCCAGGCTGCCTTCACCCAGCCCAGCCCCGGGGCAGCGCAGGAGGCTCCAGCTGGGAGCAGCACTGATCCAGCCCCGTGGTTCCCCAGATCGAGCAGGTGAGCCAGCTGTCAGCCCTGGTGGACGCCCAGCTGGATTACCACAGGCAGGCTGTGCAGATCCTGGACGAGCTCGCCGAGAAGCTCAAGCGCAGGTGAGTCCGGGATGCTGCCTGGGGTTCCTCTGGAATCACATCCTCTGGAATCACATCCTCTGGAATCACATCCTCTGGAATCACATCCTCTGGAATCACAGGGTCCCTCAGTGGGTGGGGTGGGAAGCTCACACCTTCCACTACCCCAGGTTGCTCTGAGCCCTGTCCAGCCTGGCCATGAAAAAGCTGTTGGCTGTTGCAGGTGGGATCTGGATTTAGTTGGGTGTCAGATCCAGCCCAAGTCCTGGCTGAGGAAGGCTCGTCCCAGCTCTCCCTCCTCAGCCTCCCCGCTCTGGGGAGGACCTGGCAGCGCTGCCCTGCTGCTCTTCCCTGCTGGGAGACACTGCGGAGTGGATCCCGTGCCTGCTCTGAATTTGGGAGGAGCTGGGAGGATCCTGCCAAGCCTGAGCTCTCAAACTACAGCACGAGTGTCCTCTGCTGGCCTGAATTCCTGAGCATTCCACAGTGAAACCTGGCACGTGTGAGCCCTCTGGAAGGGCAGATCCCAAACCCTGGGGAAGTGCCCCCTGCCAGGGACACATCCCTGTCTGCAAAGCCCTTCCTGCCCTGGGCAGCCCCCCAGGAGGACAAACACCGTGTCCATCCCGTCCTGCTCCGTTCCTTGCTGCCTTACCCAGGGCTCTTTTCCCTGTCCCAGGATGAGGGAGGCGTCCTCACGTCCCAAGCGGGAATACAAACCCAAGCCCAGGGAGACCTACGACTTCAGGGACACCGACCAGTCCAACGGGGGCTTCTCCTGCAACCCCACCCCCAAAGTCTCAGGTAACGCTGTCCCAGGTGTTCTCTGGTGCCTGTGGAGCAGCCTCCCAGGGAAGGAGGGCAGCTGCTGTGCCTGCACAGGACGTTCCCGGTGTGCTGGATGCTCCTGCACGAGCCCGTGGCTCTGGAGAACGTCGGGAATGCCTCTAGAGCAGGCTGTTTTCTCCTGGGACCCAGGAGCCTGTGCTGTGTTGGCTTTGGGGATGTGCCAGAGGGGTCTCCAGCCTGGGCCTCTCGCTGTCAGTGCCAGACAGGAAAACTGAAGCCTCCCTCCCTCCCTCCTTGTCTTCCTCCCGCTGCATCCCTCCCTCCCTGATCCCAGCAGGTTCCTAACAGCATGGGGGTCCTGCTTTTCTCCTAACAGACCCCTCTGGGCCCTGCCTGTCCCTGTCTCCCGTTCCCGTTGGTTTAAGCATGTCTCTCTTTTGTTTGGAAGCAGCTTCCACCTCTTTCCGGTCGGACAAGCCGTCCCGGTCCTCCGTCAGGAGTATCCGTGAGTTTCCTCCCTCTGCACTGCTCCGTGTGTGGCCTCCTCTCCCCGTCCCTCCTGGCTGCTCCTCCCCGCTGCTGCTGCTCCGTGGAGCTGCTCATCCCCCCGTGCTGAGCCTGGGCTGAGCCCTGAATTAACCTGAATTAACCCAACCCTGCTCCAGTGGGATTTTCCACCCCAAAACCTGGGCCTGGCTCACCCGGAGGAGCTGCAGCAGCTCCCGGCACCCGGGCATGTCCTGATCCCGAGGGATCGGGTGCTTCCCCACCAGAGGTCACACACCTCAAGGATTTCCCTGTTCTTGGAAGCACCCAGCCTGGATCCCTCCCACTGCTGCTCCCCGTGTCCCTGTGGAAGGCTGGAGGGAGGAGGCAGAGCCTCGGCTGGTGCAGTTTGTGGGGTGTGGTCCCAGCTGGGCCTCGGAGGGGCTGTGGGGTGATGTGGGGTCCGTGGTTCCTCCTGCAGGACCTTGGGATCCCGGCTGGGCCGGGGCTTGGAGCTGCTGTGCTGGGAGTGTGGAGCAGGGCTGTGGTGGTGGGGCCAGCCCGGTGATTTGGGGACTTCTCAAACCCATCAACGTCTGCCTGCGGCTTGTGGGGATTTCTGAGTGCTCTTCCCATGCTGGGCCCTCCCTTGCTGTGGCTCTGGAACCGTGGAATGGTTTGGGTTAGGAGGGACCTCCAAGACCATCCCAATCCACCCCCTGCCCTGGGCCAGACCTCCCGCTGTCCCAGGCTGCTCCAAGCCCCGTCCCCGCAGCCCTGGGCACTTGCAGGGCTATTGAGCAGCTGGATGTGCTGGCTGCCCCTGTCGTGCCTGGGAGAGCCCCAGCACGGTGGGGAGGGCTGGGGGGTCCTGCAGACCCCGGGGGTCTCTCTTAGCTCTGTCCCTTTCCACTGGGATTCTCCCAGCTCCGAAGCTGAGTCCCAAAATGCCAGTGCAGAGAGTGAGCAGCAGGAAATCCCACAGAAAATCCTTCTGCAGGCAAAAGGTGGCACTTAAATCCCAGAGCCGAGCTGGGGGAATGAGACTTTGGGCTCCTTCCGAGTTCTGGGGGGCTGCTCGTGGATTTGTACCCCATGGCCAGGGAGGCAGCTGCTGTCCTGTCCCTCCTGTCCCCCCAGGTGTGGGGTGACCCCTGCACAGTCCCCCTCCGTGTCCAGCCCCACCACTGAGCTACAGGGCAGCTTCTCCCCTGTGCAGAGGGATGAGGAGCCGTGCTGGGGCTGGATCAGGAGTGCAGCAGGAGCAGCAGGCGCTGCTGGAGGCAGGAGCGGGGCTGGGAGCGGGGCTGGGATCACGGAGGAGGCCGTGGCAGCCGCCCTGGCAGCCCAGGCGGGATGCAGAGCCCGTGGCAGGATCCCAGGGCTGTGTGGGTGCTGCTGACGTGTCCCCGCTGTCCCCACAGCCCCCCTGGACCAGCCCTGCTGCAAAGCCCTCTACGACTTTGAGCCCGAGAACGACGGCGAGCTGGGCTTCAAGGAGGGCGACATCATCACCCTGACGAACCAGATCGACGAGAACTGGTACGAGGGGATGATCCACGGCCAGTCCGGCTTCTTCCCGCTCAACTACGTGGAAGTGCTGGTCCCGCTACCTCAGTGAAACGGCGCCGCTCCCGCCCCGAGTGTCCCGAGCTCCATTCCAGCTCCAGCCCGCCCTCCCCGCGTCACCTCGGGGCCAGGCGCTCCCAGGGAACAAACCAGAAGGGTCCCACGGCCCCTTCCCCCCAGCAATTTGGTTCTTTTCCTTTTTTTTCTTTTTTTCTTTTTTTTTTTTTTTGTCCTTCTGGTGCTTGAACTTCGGTACTTTGCCCACCCCCAGCCCCGGGCAGCTCTGCCCTGGCCCTGGCCCTCCCCAGTCCCTGTCCTTCCTTGGATCCAGTGCCCAGATGAGCCAGGTGGGAGAGCTGGGATGGACACACAGGGATGAGCTGGGATGGACACACAGGGATGAGCTGGGATGTGTCCTGGACACAGGGATGAGCTGGGATGTGTCCTGGGCACACAGGGATGAGCTGGGATGTGTCCTGGGGATGTGTCCTGGACACAGGGATGAGCTGGGATGTGTCCTGGGGATGTGTCCTGGACACACAGCCCCAGGGCAGGGCAGCCCCAGCGAGTGCTGCCCCGTCCCCACGGATCCCCGAGGGATCAGGGGAGGGCAGCTGGGGCACAGCAACACTAAAACACGCAGAGAACACTAAGGCAGCCCTGCAGGGCAGGTGCTGAGCCCTGCCTGGGGCTCTCAGAGCCGCCCCTGCCCATCCCAGAGGGACAGGAGCGATGTCCCCTGCCCGCAGAGCTCAGCCCCCGGGGGGAGCCTGCTCCTTCTGCCCCTGGTTCTTTCCTGGACCCGAGGCTGTTCCTGCTGCAAACTCCCCGCAGTCGCTCACACCCCAGGGGTCTCTGCAGGGAGAGGAGCTGGGTCCCAGCCCGGGCTGTGTCTGGTGGGGCAGAGCTTGTGGCTCCTGTGCCCGGGGCTCTGCACGTTCCCCCTTCCCGGGGATCCCTCCTGGGGCTGGAGCCCCTCGGGTGCCTCCCCTGGCCCCCTCCCCGGGCAGCACCCCTGCTGCGGTGGGAAAAGGGCTGGTTCATCTCAGTGTCACCTGTGCCACCCCTGGTCCCTCAGCTGTCCTTCCCGGGGCCAGGGCTGGCCAGAGCAGCTTGCTGCGCTCCGAGGTTTTCCTCCCTGCAAAAGTGGGTTCTCCCCTCGTGGAGCCCCAGCTCCGGGCAGGGCTGTGCTGCAGCTCCCCTGTCCTGCTGCAGGGGGTTTCTGAGTGTCCGTGTGTCTGTCTGACCCCGCTGTCCCTCCCCGGGGGGAGCAGGGTCACGGCCCGGGGACCCCGGCTCCTGCTCAGGTGGATTGAAACGCGTTCTGTCAGCTGGGACAACTCGCTCGAGTTTGTTTTGTTTTGTTTCTTTTTTTTTTTTTTGGGTTTTGGTTTTGTTGTTTTGTTTTTGTTTTTTTTTTTTGGTAATGGTTTCTCCTGGTTTTTAGGGGAAAAAATGATGACCCACAATTCTTGACTTGTATCTCTGAATGAAAGTATTAAATGTTTTCTTCTTTCTAACGGCTGTGTCGTGGGATCAGGGAATGGTTTGGGTTGGATGGGACCTGGAAGGTCTGGGCAGGGTCACCTCCCCCTGTCCCAGGAGCTCCCAGTGTCCAGCCCGGCCTTGGGCACCGCCAGGGAGCAGGGACAGCCCCAGCGGCTCCGGGCACCTGAGCCAGGGCCTGTCCCCTGCCAGGGAGGGATTTCCTCCTCATCCCCTCGGGCCAGGCCAGGCCAGGATGTCCCCGAGCCCGCGGCGTCCCCAGCCAGCGGAGCCGCCTCTCTGCAACCGCTCTTTATTCACTGAGCCGCACACTGCCGCACCGGCACGGCCGCCCCGGGGCCGGCGGGAGCT